TAATTTTTTTAGGAGCAGATAGCTAGGTCCTTCTCCTGCAGAGCCACTGTGTGAGTTCAAACCACCACCTTTTCAGTTAGCAGTGGCATACTTAACCATTGCACCACTAGGGCTCCTTGTACTATAAAACCAAGTTGATGATGACTTATAGCAACCCTACAGGACAGAGTAGAACTGCCCCATAGGGTTTCCAAGGAGCAGCTGGTGGATTTGAACTGCCAAATTTTAGGTTAGCAGCCAAGCTCTTAATCACCGAGAGTACTATAGGGGTATAATAATACTTACTTTTACCCCCCACAGAGGGGAGGTGTAGGAGATAGGCATGAACTTTGGAGTGGCACAGCCTGTGTTCAATTCTGAACATTTTCTCTGCACCAAAGCCTATACATCTGAGGGCTTGGGTAAGTCCCTTACCCCACTGAGCCTCAGTTTCCTCCTCTGTAAACTTAGAATACCCACCTAGCAATTTATGAGGATTAAAGAAAATATATGTAAGCACTGGCACTTATTAAACTCTCAATAAATCGTAGCTACTGATGTTTGTTGATGCATTTTGTAAAAGGTATTATATATGTAATTATGTAATGGATTATATGATTTGACTATTTCTTCAGATATGTAGCTACAGACTGACATACTAAACCACTACATTTCTTTCATGTAGCAGTGTGAATATATGAATGTATTTTCTTTTATGTATTTGAGCCTTGCTGTGATACTCATCATAGTGAGATTACGACATTAGCAAATCTCCCGATCTCTTTGATTTTTCCCACTTTGCTGCATTTCTGAAGTCTACAGTGAGTTTTCAATATGTTTACTCATTCTTTTATTCATTCATTCAACAAACACCTACTGAAGGCTTACTATGTGACTGGATCTATCGTAGGAGTTATATTTCAGTGGAAATTAACTTATATATCTTATCACAGATGGTTTCATTGTTGTTGTTGTTGTTAGGAGATATCAAGTCAATTCGACTCATAGCAATCCTATGTACAACAGAACGAAATACTGCCCGGTCCTGTGCCATGCTTACAATCATTACTATGTTTGAGCCCATTGTTGCAGGCATTGTGTCAGTCCATCTCATTCAGGGTCTTCCTCTTTTTCACCGACCCTCTACTTTACCAAGCGTGATGTCCTTCTCCAGGGACTGATCCCTCCTGATAATATGTGCAAAGTATGTGAGATGAAGTTTCACCATCCTTGCTTCTAAGGAGCATTCTGGCTGTATTTCTTCTAAGAGAAATCTGTTCATTCTTCTGGCAGTCCATGGTATATTCAACATTCTTTGCCAACAACATAATTCAAATGCATCAATTCTTCTTGGTTGTCCTTATTCATTGTCCTACTTTTGCATGCATAGGAGGCAATTGAAAATACCATGGTTTTGGGTGGGCACAACTTAGTTCTCAAAGTGACATCTTTGCTTTTTAACACTTTTGCAGCAGATTTGCCCGGTGCAACACATCGTTTGATTTCTTGACTGCTGCTTCCATGGGCATTGATTATGGATCCAAGTAAAATGAAGTCCTTGACAACTTCAGTCTTTTCTCCATTTGTCATGATGTTGCTTATCAGTCCAGTTGTGAAGATTTTTGTTTTTTTTTATGTTGAGGTGCAAACCATATTGAAGGCTACAGACTTTGATCTTCATCAGTAAGTGCTTCAGGTCCTCTTCACTTTCAGCAAGCAAAGTTGTGTCATTTGCATATGGTAGGTTGTTAACAAATTTTCCTCCAGTCCTGATGCCACGTTCTTCTGCATACAGTTCAGCTTCTCGGATTATCTGAATACAGACTGAATAAGTATGGTGAAAGGATACAACCCTGATGCATACCTTTACTGACTTGAAACCACGCAGTATTCCCTTGTTCTGTTCGAACAACTGCCTCTTGGTCTATATACAGGTTCCTCATGAGCACAATTACGTGTTCTAGAATTTCCACTCTTTGCAATGCTATCCATAGTTTTTTATGATCCACACAGTTGAACAACTTCGCATAATCAATAAAATATCTTTCTGGTATTTTCTGCTTTCAGCCAAGCTCTATCTGACATCAGTAATGATATCCCTCATTCCACATCCTCTTCTGAATCTGGCCTGAATTTCCAGCAGTTCGCTGTCAACGTACTGCTGCAACCGTTTTTGAATTACCTTTGGCAAAATTTTACTTGTGAAAGAAAAGACCAGACTATCAGACATGAAATGATACTTGAGAAGAGTATGCTTCTTAGTTCAAGTAGATAGACGAGACTAAATGGGCAGCTTCTGTCTGGAGGTGAGATGAGAAGGCAGAAAGGGATAGGAGCTAGTTGAATGGACACGGGAAATCCAGGGTGGAAAGGAGGAATGTATGATCACATTACAGGGATAGCAACTAGGGTCACATAACGATGTGTGTATAAGTTTTTGTATGAGAAACTAACTTGAGCTATAAACTTTCACCTAGCACAATAAAAAAAAAATTACTTGTGAGTTATAGTAATAATATGATTTGATAATTTCTGCATCTGTTGGATCACCTTTCTTTGGAATGGGCATAAGTATGGATCTCTTTAGTTGGTTGGCCAGGCAGCTCTCTTCCAAATTTCTTGGAGTAGATGAATGAGCACTTCCAGCTTTGCATCCATTTATTGAAATGTCTCAGTTGGTCAATTTCTGAGCCTTGTTTATTTTTTGCCAATGTCTTCAGTGTAGCTTGAACTTATTTCTTCAGTATCATCAGTTTTGATCGTATACTACCTCCTGAAATGTTGAACGTCGATCAATTCTTTTTGGTACAGTGACTGTGTACTCCTTCCATCTTCTTTTGATGCTTCTTGCATTGTTCAATATTTTGTCCATACAATCCTTCAATACTGTAACTCGAGGCTTGAATTTTTTCTTCAGTTCTTTCAGCTTGATAAATGCTGAGCCACCACTCATCTGCAACTTTGTCAGACTATGGTGACTTGCCGTCGCTGTGATGCTGGAAGCTATGCCACCAGTATTTCAAATACCCGTAGGGTCACCCATGGTGGACAAGTTTCAGTGGAGCTTCCAAACTAAGACAGACTAGGAAGAAGAACCTGGTGATCTACTTCTAAAAAATTAGCCAGTGCAAACCTTATGAACAGCAGCAGAACACTGTCCGATATAGTGCCGCAAGATAAGCCCCTCAGGTTGAAAGGCACTCAAAATACGACTGGTGAAGAGCTGCCTCCTCAAAGTAGGGTCGACCTTAATGACATGGATCAGGTAGAGCTTTCGGGACCTTCATTTGCTAATGTGGCATGACTCAAAATAAGAAGAAACAGCTACAAACATCCATTAATAATCGGAACCTGGAATGTACAAAGTATGAATCTAGGAAAACTGGAAGTTGTCAAAAATTAAATGGAATGCTTGAAGATAGATATCCTAGGCATTAGTGAGCTGAAATGGACTGGTATTGGCCATTCTGAATTGGACAATTATATGGTCTGCTATGCTAGGAATGACAAATTTTAGAGGATCAGCATTGTATTTATTGTCAAAAAGAGCATTTCCAGATCTATGGTTTCATTAAATATTACAAATTATTATGATAAATTTTATTGCAGTAATATACAAAATAGCATATATAGTTTATGTAAACTCTAATGGAATTTAAGAATAAGTTTTCACAATGTTACATATTCTCTGGAAAATAATTATATTCAACATCTTTTCACAAGGGTTACTATATACATTAAATAAGCCAAAGAGTCTATATAAATAAACCAAAGAAAACCATTTAAAAATGGGAATAATTTTTTAAATTATCATATTTATAATTTACTATTGCATAATCTTTCAGAGCAGATTCTTAAGGGCTTCATATCAGAATATCTTTAAAACAGGCCACAATTGGAGGCAATTAAATCATTCTTCTTCATGTTTTACTTTAGTTTCCTTAACAGTCATAAAGTACAATCTACTCCTACCAATGAAAAACTGTATCTATATATTTTTATAATGTTCTAAAATACTTCCTTTAATAATAGTCTCATTATAAATGTAATCCAGCTTAACAGTAATTGAGCACCTCCAATGTTTAGCAATTACAAAATGAATGATGAAAGTGCAAGATAAGCATTCCTCTATAGCAGAGATGGGCAAACCACTGCCTGCTGGCCATATCCGGCCCACCACTTCTTTTTTGAATAATGTTTTCTTGGAACACAGTCAGGCCCATTTGTTTACGTGTAATCCATGGCTGTTTTTGTGCTATGCTGGCAGAGTTGAGTAGTTGCAAGAGAAATAGTATGTCTGCAGTGCCTAAAATATTTACTATCTGGCCCTGTACAGAAAGTTTACTGACCACCACCTACCCTATAGATGGATTCGTTTGGTGATGCCAACAGTTAACATGCTCAACTGCTAAATGAGGTTCGAGTCCTCCTAGCAGCACCTCAAAACAAAGACCTGGTAATCTACTGTCAAAAAAACAGCCACAAAAACCCCTATGGAGCACAGTTCTACCCTGACACACAAGGGGTTGCCATGAGTCGGAAATGACTCAAAGGCAACTAGTTTTTTGGCTCTATAGTAAACGTGTTAAAGAGTTTCCACACCAATTTTGAGGGTCCTAACAAAATTAGGAAGGAATTCAAAGAGAGTGGTTGCTGTATATTCAGCTCCTTTTTGGTTTGTGCCTGATGCTTAGTGCAGCCACCGGAGGTAGGATAAACACTGCACATTTGAGTAGACAAACTCTCTATAAGCAGTCCTTGCTGGGCTAATGGTTAATTGTTGCTCCCTTCCCAGAAGGCAAAGTTCCAGGCATTGCCCCAAGCCAACCAAACAAATGCCCACTCGAGTTGTATAATCTTCATTTCTTTTAGGAGCTGTGGATTTTAGTTGGTGTCTTATTTTATTTTTGGGAGAGTTCAGAAATATTGTGACTTTCTGTAGATCTGTAAACATCACAGCTTATTAAAGTGAAAATTGTCATTATTTCAATTAAAATAGAAAAAAAAAGTCCTCATGTTACCTGTATGTTGTTCCACAATCCAGACTTCCAAGTACATGAAGAGAAGAAGCCCTGCGACTCCAAATATCAGCACAGAGAGGAAGACTTGTTTGGGGTTCATGACCATTTCAGATGGCTGCATTTCTTCCCGTTTCTGAAGACCACATGATTTATTTTCCCATATACTTTCAATCCTTTCTTGTTTTCTTAAGCACCCATTCCATAAAGTCACCTAGAATGAAAAACAAAAATCCACATTGTACCTGTCGGATGACATTTCTTCCCAAATACGGTATAAATACGCAGTATATGTATAATACCAAAGACTCAAATGAACTGTAAGATGTTGAAGACAAGAAGACTGTAGAAAATGTACCTAGAATGGCACTCTTTCATTGTATCATTTTATCTTATCTAAGGCATGTATTGGAAACCGTGGTGGCATAGTGGTTAAGTGCTACGGCTGCTAACCAAAAGGTCAGCAGTTCAAATCCACCAGGCGCTCCTTGGAAACTCTATGGGGCAGTTCTACTCTGTCCTATAGGGTCACTATGAGTCGGTATCAACTCGATGGCAACAAGTTGGTTATAGTTGGTTGAAGGCGTGTATTAACAAGCCCTGGTGGTGCAAATGGTTAAGCGCTCAGCTGCTAACAAAAAGGTTGGCAGTTTGAACCAACACAATGGATTCGTGAGAGAAAGACCTGGCGATCTACTCTGGTAAAGATTACAGCCAAGAAAATCCTCTGAGGCAGTTCTACTCTGTCACATAGGGTTGCTGTGAGTTGGAACTGACTTTACGGCACCCAGCAATAACAAGAGATATACCTATTATCTTACAGTTAATAGATAACACTCTAACATTTAATTAAGTGACATATGACCAGATGTAAGCCTTCCTATATCGTAAAGAAAAAAGCAGGGTTGTGTTACCTTAAAACAATTATGAGAAAGAAAATTAACAGAATATATTGCTGAAAAACGGGTTTTGAAAACATGTTCATACAATATAGTGAAAATCATTTCACTTCTTAAAAATATATGAAGTTCAAAAATGAAGGGTTTAATCTGTCATTTCCCTCTCATGTAAAAGTAACAGATTTCTTCAATCTAAAAGCATTCAAAGGCATACAAGAATACAAAATAAAAAGCTGACATTCACAGGCCCCTCCTACAATGACATGGAATTACAGAAATCTACCTCGGATGCCTGGCAAAGTTACTTTTTTTAAAAAAAGAAATACTAAAATTACTTTGTTTTAGAACAACCTCATTTAGTGTAAGAATAACCTTTTTTTTAAGTTGCACCCACTTTTGAGAATCTGATGAAAATGTAGAGCCTCTCCTTAGAAAAATATGAACACATACAACATCCTGCATAAACTGTCAGTATGTTCACGTAGCCCCACTGAAACTGAGTTAAGAATCCCTACTCCCAGTGAACTGCAGGGAAGTATGTGGCTCACCTGTGCGGTGAACTCAATGGTCAGCGGCACGGCTCAGGAGGCCAAGGTCATGACTGTATCCAATGCTTGCAGGGCCCATGACTTTGTCCCTGGCCACAGACCACATCTTTTTTGGGTGACCTGAATAAATGTTTCCTCAGTGTGAGAACCTCACACACACTACTGTGTCGAAAAATTATCTTTTTTCCCCCACAAATATGCTTCAAACAATTCTGGGAGAATATTGATTTAGCCTTGTTAAGAGTGTTTGGTAAGGTGCCAGTTAAAAATTAAAAATTGCTGTGGGAAACTGCTAGCCTGGGTAAAGCATAATAATTGGCTTTTCTTGCAGAACCAATTTTTCACAAACTTTGGGCTTCAAAGGTCATCTAAGAGGACAGAAATAGAAATGAATGTATTAAAGTAATTAGAGTGACTGCCTGATTTAAAAAATTCTCAAATGGTTAAAAGTTTTTATGCAGAACAACAAGTCAACAAGTCATATTATACTTTTTCCTATGTCTCTTATATTATTACCTGGAAGGAGCTAGAGTTAACAGCGGTGGTTTTCAGGACCATCTGAGGCACTTCCTCAAAATCCACATTTCTGAGTCCCTTGAGGAAGGGGCAAGTGCTAACACTTCACTGGTGCTTTTGAGGACTTCACGCATGTCCTCAACTTTGGTAGCAGAGGAAGTTTTTAATTAAGAACTGACTAAGAGTATTATCATATTGCTTATTTTAGGGAGTCCCTGGGTGGCGAGTTGGAATTGACTTGACGGCAACGAGTTTTTTGTTTTTTTTCTTTTTGTGTGGCTGAAATGGTTAAGCAGCTGGCTACTAACTAAAGGTTAGTGGTTCGAATCCAGCCAGAGGTGCCTTGAAAGAAAGTCCTGTCGATCTACTTTCAAAAGATCACAGCCATTAAAAACCCTCAGAATGCAGTTCTACTCTGACACACGTGGGGTCGCCACAAGTCAGAATCAACTCAACAGCAACTGGTTTTGGCTTTTGGTTTATCTTAGGATGATATTTTGCTCTTGTATTATATCAAAACTAAAATGTTACCGGCCTTCCAAACACATACAGCAAAGAAAAGTTCCCAAGGGACATTTGTTATTTGAGGTGTTGAGGTGTTCCAAGATTGAATCGCTCAAGGAGAGCTGCAAACAGAAACCAGCCTTCTCTTGATGCTGCCATTGAACAACGAACAGACACACTTCCTTGGTACATAAGAAGACTCAGATAGGAGGAAACCAGTCATACAAAATCTACTACTAACAAAGAAACAGTTGTTTACAAGAAGAAAGAGACTTCTACAATCTGTCTACATAATTAAAACTTATCTCAGAAGAGAAAGGATAGGAGAAAACTCATAAATCAGAATAGAGCTACAAACCTGTGGGAATGGTGGGTGTGAGTGCCAAAAGAAGCATTCCTTCGCGGGTGTGCAGAGGAAATTATTACCTATAATGCTGGGAAAAGATTAAGAATTTGCCCTTCCTTTCTTCAGAAGCTGTTGCTATACTCTGACATATCCTCCTGGGTGAGAAGGCAGTAGAAAACCCATAATTGTTATTATGGCAGATGTGAGTAGGATTGAGTGATTAAAGCCACAAGGCAGAAAGGCAATCTGGTGTAAAACGGAAAGATATGTTTGATTTTCTCCCATCTCAGTCCATTAACCTAAAGTTGGCATTAGGAAATAGCTCTCATTAAACAAAGGTGAGGCAGTAGGCACAGCGGTATTGCTTTAAGCAAATGTGAAGGTCAGCTGTGGTGGGAAAACATACCTATTTGGAAATCATATCTCCTCCTCCAAGCCTGCGGAAAAAGTGCAGACCAACTGGAGATTGAAATTACTTGGAATAATGCTGTTTTATGTACAAGCACTATACAACATTTCTATGGTCAAAAGCTCCCTGTATCTCGTACAATTCTTTCCTCTCCCCAACTCATAATCATAGTACTCTGAACCCAAAATGTACTCAACCACGTGTTGTGCTGAAGTTGAAGCCTCAATAACAAAATACAGGTAACTGATGAATTTTCTAGTTGTACTTGTAAATTCTTAGTCCTAACCTCCAAAAGAAGGAGAAATAAGAAACTATTAAAACATAGAAAGTTATAGTCTACATTTCCTTGTTTAAAAAGATACTTATTTTTATTTGCATATCCTATCAGGTCACTCCTAACTTAATTATGAAAGTATAAAAATACTTATTTCACCCCATTATTTCTCCTCTAATCTAACACTTTAAAAATTATTCTTTTATATGACAATGGCTACCAACAGAAGCATTTCTGATACTTAAGTGTATTGATAAATTGCTAGCTGAAGTCTCTGGGTGGTGCAAACAGTTAACACGCTTGGCTGCTGGCTGAAAGGTTAGAGATTCACGTCTACCCAGAGGCACCTCAGAAGAAAGGCCTGATGATCTACTTCTGAAAAATCAGTCATTGAAAACCCTGTGGAGCACAGATCTACTCTGACACACACAGGATTGCCATGAGCACTGGATGAGGCAATCTGAATACAAGAAAATGATGAATTGTCCAGTTTGGCATAATCTTATGATTTTAGGAAGGGAGTAGTGGCATTTGGCGAGGATAGACTTGGACCAAATTATGCTGGCATTTTGGTGTGGAAGGAACTGAGAGTCACCCCTCAACCCCGGCTGGGTCTCAGCTGTCCTCCCAGGTGTCCCTTTTCTTCTCCCTCTCCTGGAGCAGCTGGACTATTCTCCATCTCTTTCCCACCTTCTGAGCAAATAGAGATTGTCAGTCAGGACTCCCTCAATTTACTACTTGTCCTCTCACAAGTTTATTATCAGTGATCCCCACCCACACCTCTTTGCCTGTCTCTGAAATACAAGAGCCTTCTCTATTGCTTCATCTGTGCTTAGAAGCATCTCTTTCAGGCTCCTTTAAAATGCTGCTCCATTAAAACCTCCTCAGCCTGGGTCTTATCTTCAACCTCCTTATCCAAGACTCCTTCCTTTGTAAACCCCTCCAGCGACTGCCCCATTGCTGTCATTTCCAGACAAGCTGCAAGACAGAGTGCACTACCCTGACTGCATCAGGCACCTCATCTCCCATCCATTCCTCAATCCTCAGGGACCAGGGAGGCAGGGGCAATGTGTGATAAGGATCAGAAGTTGTGTAAAGATTGAAAATGTGCAGTTCCCTGGGGTTTTTGATTTTTTTTTCTATTCTGGTTTCCTCTTTTATGAATTTCCTGTTTATATCTCTTCCCAATTTTTCTTATTGATCTGTAGTTCTTTATGCATTTTAGATAGTAAGTCTTTGTCAGTTACAGGCATTACAAAGATCTTCCTGTCTGGGACATTTCCCTCCTTTCCTCTGTGTGTCTGCGTGTGTGTTCCAATGGTGGTCGTTTTACTAAGCAGAGTTTAAAATTAATTTTATCAATATTTTCCTTTTTGCTTTGTTTATCAGCTAGTGTCTTGTGAGAAAGCATGTGATACACTCAAACTCATGAAACTGTGGAGAGTTTAATAAAGGGATTGTTAGTTCCCTAGGGCTGTGTAGCAAAGTACCACAAACTGGGTGGCTTAAAACAACAGAAATTTATTCTCTCACAGTTATGGAGGCTTTTTTTTTCTTCCAGTTGCCACTGAGTTGATTTCAACTCATGGTGACTCCATGTGTGTCAGAGTAGAACTGCTCTACGGGTTTTCAAGGCTGTGGCTTTTCAGAAGCAGACCGCCAGGTCTTTCTTCCGAAGAGCCTCTGAGTAGGTTCAAACAGCCAACCTTTTGGTTAGTAGTTGAGCACTTAACCATTTGTGACATCCGGGGTTGGAGTCCAGAAGACTATCTTCTGAAGGCTAGAAGACAG